TAAAGTTACCATGCTGGGTCTAGGAGCTTTGGAAAATCCCACCCTCCACCATACAATCTACAGTTTTGTGTATGATTTCATTTATTCTCAAAGAAATAAATGGGATCACATTGCCTGGCCCTCTCTCTGTCTGTCAGTCAGACTCTGACCTGTCTGTCTCTCTCTCATAACTTTTGAACCCAAGCTAATGTTGACTGCAGACAGAAAGGCGAGGGCCCAAAGGTGTTTAGTCCTTACAAAGTATAATGCCTGGAGAAAGGAGATCTGCAGCACGAGTTCCACTGCCCTCACCTCTCTCCTCTCCACACAGGCTCACGAGTCAGCCCGTATGTGTGGGTCCAGCACAGCACCCCTGTCCCTGTCAGGCAGAGGATCTTGGCTCCAGGAACAACCCACACAGAGAAGGCAGCAGGCCTCCACCATCTGCCAAGGATGCTGAAGGAACTTGAAACACTGGTCCACTGGAAACTGGGCCACATTGATTTCATCATCTAAAACCTGTCAATTGTTAACTTGCAACAGCCAACAATTGACAGTCACTTCTCAACACAGCTTCTGGAAAAACACTCTTGAAAACCACACATTTCCTCTGAAATTATATCAACAGACTTTATTTAAATGTAGGTGTTCTCTGGACTTCCACAACTTTGCTGTCTTACAAAGGGCAAAAAATTTTGACATATCCCAGTGACAGCAGCCATACTGAAGAGCCAACATTGGTGCCTACCTCACAGAAAGTTTTCCAGTCTAAACTGACTCTATGACATGCCACCAGCTGCAGACACATTATAATCCAATTTTAGTTCACACTGGGTAGTATTTCTAATCCCTCAGGTTTACCTCATCATGATCCCTGGTCATCAGCAAAGAGGATGGGTACCATTTCAGGAAGAGTAGAAATGTATCCACAGGCTAGGGTTCTAATGCGGCTTCTCCCACTTGGGCTCTTTTGTAAGTAAAATATTGATGCCCAAGCCTGTGAAGCTTTATGCCATCAAGGCAGTGGACAGTGCTTTTACATGCTAATAAGTGTACATTAGGAAATTCAGTGGAGATGATTGGCCTTCAGCTGGAAACAGAGAAGCTGATGTTAAATGAAATTAAGTTGTCAATGACTCATCTTAAGTTTTCTATGTGTTAAGACAATACAAATTGCAGGTAGCATAGACCCATTTTAATTCAGTATATGAAAGGAAAGTTATGATAGCAGAGTAGGAGGAAGAGATGAGAGTTAAGGAACCTACACAAGTCTTTTCTCCCTTTATATAGAGTGTGATGCATATTCTCACAGCCATGTGACAGGGCTGGGTCTACCGAGTCCTTATTGCTTTCAGAACATGCTCAGACTTCGAGGGGATGTCCATAAACCTGGCAGTGAATAAGCATCACTTCTGCATCCAGTTTGGTGCAGATGATTCATACTCTTGCTACAGCAAGAGAGCAGGATCAAAGGCTTCATAGCTCACTCAGTCCTTGAGTGACCCTGCCAGTTCCTGGCCTTGAATGTTTTTCATTATCTCATCACACACTGAGGATTGCAGTGTCTTACAGAGCAAAGCAGGTTTAGTTTAAGTAGAAGCTTGGACTGTGCTTAAATTACATGTTTTTTAAAAATTATTTTTACACCAAGGTGGCTTTGCAAATAGTCTACTGTGGTGTAAAATGAAAGATAAGTTCTCTGCCATATACCTACAAGCTGAGACTGCTGATTTACACTGCAGAGCAAGACTTTCAGAGGTTGTTACTAAGTCACTGAGTCACCAACCAACCTTGCTACACAGTTTGTTACAAGCTTTTGGTCCAGTACAATAAAAGAAGGTTTGACATAGTTTCAAACAATGCTATCAGCACCAGTGAGCAGACAAACAGGAGGATGGGTCATGAAGAAATTAAGACAGAAAAATCAGAAAATATACACTGCAACCAGATCTGCTACACTTTAGGGTTTCAGTGAAAGGCTGACATCTTCAGCACTACTATGCTGAAGTATTCTTACAGAATGGATTCAGAGAAGGGTGACATTCCTTTTTCCTGGTTTACATTCCTTTTTTTCTGTACAAAATGGTCACCCTTCAGATACAGTCATGAGATCACAATTCAACTTTGCTTAGCTTCAAAGATTTAACAATAATATTCCAGTTCTTTACATGAACAGATTCCTATGACAAGCTTGAAGTGATATGACTGTTTGCTCTGGATTCCACTGGAAATTTGCTTGTACAGGACTATTGGTTTGGAGGGATTCTGGATTTTTTTACCTGTACATAATAAATACCAGAGTGATAGATAATATTTTTTTCATGTACATGGAATATCATGTCTCTCTAGTTAATAAATATTGTCATTCATACCAAACACCTGTTCACCCTGGAATATGTGATAATCTTGTAGAATTAATACTTGTATTCTATTGGGGATGTGGGGTTACTTTGCTTTATCTGATGTGTACTTCTTTGACTAAATAGGCAAGAGGAAAGAGCAATCTGTTTGGCACCATAAATCAACTCTCTCAATATTTATCTTGATTTCCTGATTCACAAGTCTGCATTTACATGTTTCAAATATTCCTAAAAATCAAAGATCTGAAAATTAAACATTCCATGATTTTCCATGTTCTCTGCACAAGTTTGAGCAAGTTAACTAGAACATAATTAATAGAGATGCTCATCTCCTGCAACCATCAATGTCTGGAATTAAGTGTTCAGCATTTATGTGATCCTAATGAAACTTGTATAGTAATGTTAACTTAAGTGCATGTGCATGAAAGACAAGGTCTTTCTATTTATCCATATCATTCACAGAAAAAAAACATACAACTACCACTGTAGGGTTGAAACTCAAAAACCTTTTACAGTTTTTATAGAATCTTGTAAAGTACATGTGTATGTTACAGTCAATCTAAGATAGTTGCCTCCTTGCCTCTTGAGCACTTTTCACAGACCTGTTAAAGTATTATCTGGGTTTTACTCGGATGTAAATATTCTCTTGAAGGGCTGCAAATTCCAGCTATCTGTTAAAAGTCATAGGGATATGCCAAAAGTAAACATCAAAGAGCTGCTGTCACATTTTCAAGTCTTTTTTTATAAGAATAATCATCCTGGTCCAAGGACACAAACAAGGCAAACTTTACAAACAGGCATAATTTATTTAAACAGAGCTTTCAGACACTTGACCTCTTTTCCAGATGTAATTAAACAAAACAAAAACTTTACTTACAAGCTTCATCTTGCAACAGGTCTTAATTGCTCTGGTGAAGGGTCAAGTATCCAACATGCTGGCACCTCTGAAGGAAGCCTCGATGATATCACATCTTCATTGTCAGAGAGAGGAGTTCTCATTAGTCTTACTAATGCAGCCTCATTTGAAGAATTTTTAAAAAAACTCTCAGTTTACAGATATTTTTGTAACTGAGTCCTGAAGAAAATCATTGAAACTGCTTGTATAACTCACTTTGTTCATATATGAAGCCAAAATCACAAAATGAATTTTGTAGAAAAGCGAGTTAGAAGCTATGAGTTGCTCAGCTGATGAGTCTAATGAAAAGTATCTGTATTCTCTTGCTCTTTTTGTTTTCACAGATGAAACACTAAGTAGGAAGAATTCTGAGATGGCAAAAGTAAGTGCTCAAAAATTATGAAGTGGTGTTTAAAATCACAGCATGAACTTTCTGTGATTTAGCTTTGTTTGTCTCCTACCACCCATGGTTGGGTTACACATTTGCATGCAAATCTTTCCCGTGGAAACTCTGCCCAGAAACAAAAGGAATGGGGTTTTTTTAAACCTGTTGTTAGTGGCTCCTCCATATTCTGTTATCTCTGTTTCTTGCTGTATTTCCAGCTTGCTTTTTCTTCTTCTTCAAGGGTAAGCCCGCACTTCCTCACACCTCATTGCCCAGATATCCACATCTAAATACTCTTGACTGCACACACACACGTTTCCCAGTTTTTATCCTTTCCTCCAATACTTTCTCCCTGCTTGTATTCCCTATTCAGTCCCTTGAGTTTCTGCCATTTTTTTTCCTTTTTTCTTTTTTTTTGGGGGGAGGGGGCAGAAAAGCCCCCTCCTCCCACTGTTTACCTATCTGCTTTTAGCTAGGCAGATGTTTTTCACATTTGGAAAGCTGAGGGGGATACCTGTAGACATTTCAGTAGTGTATAAGAGTCCAAGACATGGTTAGATATTAACAAAATGTTGATCAAAAAGAAAGTATTAACTGTAGAAAGCCAGAACAGGGGAAAGTAATATGAAACAAAGTTTTTTAAACCTTTTACTAGACCTAAGCATGCCTTATTAATTGTATAGTAGATGAAATCAGGCTTTTAGCATAAGTAGACCAGAGAGATCTCAAAGAAAACCTAATACAAGGAAAAGGTGCTACTAAAAATACAAAATACAGTAACAGCCATGAACTCTTTACCTTTCGTAATCGAACTCACTGCTGGGCAGCAAAGTTGGACTAAGGGGGTGAAATTGAATTCAACCTTTCTCCTGGCAGAGTGAATATATTTTCATTATCGCATATTTACGTTAAGGATGAGGTGCTCCAAGGCAGTTCTGCACAAGCAGGGATCCCCACTTTACACTTCATTTCCCAGCTGCAATGAAGTTGCAGCACTTTGCGATTTAGTATCTAAAGATGGATTATTTCTGCCAAAAAAAAAAAAAAAGGGGGAGAGGCCACGACCCTCAGCGCGTTCCCGGGGCCCGGGATGACGCTCCTGCGGTGGGCGCCGCGGGTCCCAGCGGCGGGGCTCTCCCTGCCCCGTGGGGCCGCCCCTCGCCCTCCACAGGGAGCAGGTCAGGCTCACTTTTGGGACTGGAAGAGAAAAACAGGAGATGGGCTTAAAACGTATAATCCTAAAAAACCGGTCAAGTCCGTAAAAGTGGAGAAGACAAGCCCAGAAGAGGCAGGCCGGGGAGGCGGCGCACCTGCCGCTCCCAGGCCGGGGCCCGGGAGGGCGCTCAGGGGTTAACCCCGCGGGGGCGGGGGCAGCCGAACCGGGCCGGTCTCCGCCGCCGCCGCGCTCCCCTCAATGGGCCGGGGCCGGCGGCGGGGCTGAGCTCGGCCGTGCCGCGGGGATGTCGCAGGCTCTGCCGGGCGCGGGGCACGTCAATGACCTGCCCGACCACTCTCCGTGGGTGCGCGGTGCCGTGTCCGAGCTGCGGCGGCGGGCCGAGGCAGAGCCCGGCCAGCGCTGGCCGCAGCCCCTCTCCGATGCTTTCCTGGTGCGGTTCCTGCGCGCCCGAGACTTCCACATGGACCTGGCCTGGAGGGTGAGGAGCGGCGGCGGCGGCAAGTCCCGGTGCCCGAGGAGCTCAGTCCCGGTGCCCGAGGACGGGAGCAGCCGGGCTCGGGGAGGGCAGCCCCGGCTCGGGCTGTGGCTGCTGGGACAGGCTGTGGGGTGGGTCCGTGCCCTGCTCTGCCGGGTCGGGCGAGGCCGAGCGCGGAGTTCCAGGGTGTAACTAATGATTGCTTGTCACGCGTGTCCTCGGCACGGCACCGAATCAATGTGCTGGCTCAGCGCGGTGCCGGTGTGGTAACTCAGGCTGTGGTAAGCGCGGTACAGTCACTCGCCGATACAGTAAGTGTGGTAAGGTCACAGCTCCGATTAGGAAATGGTATCCTTCAAAGGACACCCTTGTCATGATTATCAGGCTCAGGTTACTAGCAGGCGTGCTAGTTTCGCTACAGACTTATAATTACTGTAAAACTATGAGTAAAAACTTCTGTTTGCTTGGAGTCTAGTCTTTTACAGAACTCCTAGCAGGCTTTGGTAAGTTGTGGTACTTTCCCGGCTCTTTGTATGCCTTTTGCCACAGAGCACACATATTTTTAATATCCAGAGGCACTGATTGTTATCAGTTTCTTATTTTTTGAAATGGAAGATTGATAGCCATTAAACCTTTGGAACAGAAAGTGTTTCCAAATCCTCCCAGGGCAAAAGCTTTGATTCACATGTGCCAACTGAAAGCTGTGTTTCCATGGAATTTTCTGTTGTTTACACTGCATTGCCCAACAGACTTCACCTATTGGTTTCTTCACCTGTTAGTTTCTGACTTCTCTGAACTGTAGGTTTTCCAAGTTTACTCACCATAAGAGATGATTGTTTACATATGGATGTATTGCAGGATCAAGGTAGCTAAAAAAGGAAATTGAGAAATTGAATTAGGCCCTTAATCATAAATAGCTTTAAAAATTGTATTTTTGTTCTTTTCATTTGACTCATGACATTTGCATCATAGCTTTAAACCTTTCCTCCTCAACAGAAGAACCAACGAGTGAAGTCAGATTCCTTTTGTTTTATGTATGTTACTTTTACTTGAGGTTCACAAGATTATTTTTATCAAAGTTGTGCACTAGCCACTGTAGGACCATGTTTTTTATTTTCCTTTCCAAACAAAAGCCATTTTTTTTCCTGTGTTCCATGGTTCCAAAATGCTTAAAGGGCCTAATAAGGACATATGGATTCCTTAATATCCACTCCTAATTGCATTGTAATTGGTTGTTGCTGGTAATCCTATAGACAGGACAGTTGCATTTCTGAATTTGGCCTGTATGTTTTTGCACTTTGCTGGGATTGTGAGGTATGTTAGGTAGGTAAGACTAATCTTTGGGAGTGTGGAATCTAGACAAGGTTTAGAGATGGGAGTCCATGAAGTAGCAAATTTCCTATGCTTCTCTTGGGAATCAGCCCTCAACACTGACCTCCTTTGAAAAAGTTGTCATTTTAAAATCTTTTAAGATTTTCTGGGTCTCCACAGGCTGCTAAGTTTCTGAATTTCAAACCTTCCTTTGAATTAAGAGATTCTGATGTTCAAAACCACCTGTGTTTAACGTTTCTGTCTAGAATTTCAGTTCTCCAAGTGCTACAGCTACTTGCACTTAATCTACTACATCCCAGCTGACACCATTTTCTAGAATACTTGTCTTACAGTATGGGAAGAATAACAGAAGCTTTTTTTTTTTCCTCTTTCTTTTTTTTCCCCCCACAGGAATGTATTTATTGCAATTGGTCTATCAAGGCCAAAAAGAACTATTGTGCAAAAATCTCTCGTGGTCCCAAGTTGTACATTCATCTAACCCAAGTGTGACTTCACGCAGAAGTTATGTTAGCACTTCAGCCTAGGCAGAGCTCTCCTGCCATCAGTCCTGAGAGTGGCTCTTCCCTCTTGTCCTGATCTGATGTTGCCTCTTGGTGTGGAGTTCAGGCCAATAAGATTCTCTTTGCCCACTGGGTTTCCATGTACTACTGCATGGTATTTGTAGAGAAGCTAAGGGATAATCGAAGTTAGTGGTCCTGTCAATGCATATAAGCAAAGGTTGTCCAGCATCTTAGTACAGGCTTATACTTAGCCTTAACTATGAATCAAGAGTCTGGCATATGACCAGACTGTTTCTTTGATGCATTTCTGGTAAATAATTGACACAGATTTATCTGATGTCAGTTATCAACATTTGGAAATGCTTCAGAAAAGAATAATCAGGTAGATTGTATCAAGACATTCCATTTCAAAGTCCTTTATGGTGACTCATAACAGCAATTTTTTCCATTTTTCTAATGGCAATTCCAGACTTGCTTTTAATGATATATTGATATCTCTCATGCTAGAAGAAAATCCGGCACTGAAACAGGTATCTGGAATTAAAGGACTTGAAGAAAAGATAAAACTATCAGAAAAGATAAAACTATCTCAATTTCTTGAACACAGTGATCATTCAGTTAAGCTCAATAACAGACTATTCTCACAGAATCACAGAATATCTTGAGTTGGAAGGGACGTACTGGGATCGTTCAAGTTCAGCTCCTGGCCCTGCACAGACACCCTGTCAAAGAGTCACACTGTGTGCCGGAGAGCATTTTCCAAATGCCTCTTGAGCTCTGCCAGGCTTGGTGCTGTGACCACTTCCCTGGGGAGCCTGCTCCAGTGCCCAGCCATTCTCTGGGTGAAAAACCTTTTTCTGATACCCAGCCTAAACTCCCCATGACACAACTTCAGGCCATTCCCTCATGTTTTGTCACAGGTCACCACAGAGATCAGTGTCTGCCCCTTTTTGAATGTACCAGCTGTGTGTGTATGTTTGACTTTGTTGTTATCACCTAAACCACTCTCACTTGGATTCACTAGTGATATGTGAAATCTGGAAAACAAGCATCTCCTTTTGGCCATAATTGTTTCTTCCTGTTTTAGTATGCATTGCATCCTATAACTCTTGCATAGGACTGACTCTCAGGGACTTTGGAATGCCGTCTTTTTGTACCTGAAATAGATTATACTCTGGAGAACAGAAGAAAAATGTTTGGCATTGAAACTCTGTGCAGGGGGTTTTCATTACATACATCTGTAAACATCACTTTGTGGCACTGAAAACCCCTAAATATCTAGGATTCTTTTAGGAGTTCTGGTTGATACCAAGGAGTGTAGCCAGACTTTGGTTTTGCATTTGACTTGTGGAGGAATGAAGATTTCCTGGTGCCTTCTGCTGCAAGGGAGTCACTTAGGATGACTGTGCTGTACAAGAGGTGGTGTTTTCTGTAGTGTCAAACACACTGCTGAGTCTCAGACATTATCCCTGAGGATCTCCACATCATTCAAGCATAAATGCTAAGTTGAAATCAGTTACTTGGCTGCTTTTCTTCTATCAATACCAAGGAATTCCTTGAAAAGGATGGAAGAGCCCTTACTAGCTCTCTGAGCTGAATCTTGAGGAGACACAAATCAGTCAGCCAGGCTTCCCTTTGTGCTAAGCCAGCACGTGCCAGTCTTTTTCCAGTGACAAGGAAGTAATGCACGAAGAATTAGGAAAATTCTGTGTCTCCATAAAATATTTTAAATTCTTTGTCTGTGTATGTTGTATGTTTAAATTCTGGGTACATTCGTACAGGCATATATAAAAAACAATATAAAATACATATGTGTAAAGGTTTATATTCTGAAATTCGAGCTATGGTTTCTCCTGCAAAGAATACCAGTAAAAAACACTTTTTCCCCAAGCATTGTGTGCATTTTTACAACTTCTGACACAACAGAGGCCTAATTCTGCCTATCATCCACATTACTATAACTAAATAATTATTAATCAAGAAAAATATAATTAATTTACATATACAGATGCATTTGTTTCTCTAACAAGCCCAATGTGTTCTAGTTCTTTTGCTTCTAAGTACCAAGTTCACTTGTGTTTGTAGGATCTGGATCTTGGTTTAATTGATAACTTTGTAATCTCTAATGTTCAGAAATCTGGAACTGTCCCCAACAGACATCAGGGGAAAAAACCTCTTAATTAATGCTGAACTACAGACACTGGAGTTTTTCATCCAGCTTTCCCCCCTTTATCAAGTTATCTTGCATCTATTTTGAGATGCTGAGCAGATGCTAAGTAGGTTATTCCATTTGTAAACACAGATAATTATACATTGAGTTTTTCTTGTGTCATTAAGTGTGTGAGCCATTTTTTATACTGGGTAATGAATGTGTCTGTTTTTCCTGAGATTGTGTTGTTTCATCTATATCCAAACAGATTGTTATATGCAACATTTATGTTTTACCCTGCTGAAAAAGAATCTTATTTGAAAAAAAATTATACATGAATTTCTGTGCTTAAACAGTGTAAAACTAGAAAACCTCTAAACCACTGCTAGTGTTTGAATTCCTTTTATGCTTAAGGATTATTCTTTTAAGTGGCCATGTGAGACTTGGCTATGTCCACCTGTAAGAAAGAGGTTGCTTACATAAATAAAAATTTACAGAATATCTGCCAAAACTAGCTGTAGATTTCATGGAAGTTCTCTAATGCTGACTTTTACTTCAGAATTAAATAATTTTAGGTAATTAGATTAGATCTTCAAAATCTGAGAACTCTTCAGCACTTTGTGATTTTTTTTGCCAAGGGAAGCGTGCTTTAGGCTTAGCCAAGTTATATGTCTGAAAGGTGCACCACTTACTTTGTGTCATGGAAAGTTTCAGAAGTATTCCAACCATATATTTTCTCCTTAATGGGTGTGCAAGTAGGTTAACTATGCCTTCTGTAAGGATCTTGAGTGCATCACAAGCTGAAAATGCCACTCTCTTTCTTCCAAAGTCCAAGAACTTAAATCTTTGTTTCCAATTTAGAAAATGTAAATATCATGAAAATTATATCTATCTGTATTGACTAGACAGGATTATATAGGGTATTGAATTAATGTGTCATTTTTATTCTCATCTTAGTTTTGTCAGGGAGTTCTTCAAAGAGGTGTTTATATATCTGCATGATGTTGTGGTATCACAGATTTTAGAAGAAAAGTGGCAAATTACAAAGGGACAGATGTCTGCATAGTTGTTTTCAGGCTGGCTTTGTATTTTGCTGCTATTTCAGAGTCTGTTTTGGAAAGAGCAAGGAAGAAACAATGTTGACATTGCTGTCTGGCACAAAGCAGTTGGGATTGCTCAAACAGTGCCCTTTGCAGACAAACAGTCAAGTGCTGACAGAATGAGATAATCAGGGTACCTCAACAGGCCTGTCTTTGCAATTGTAGTGAACTGTTCCACAAATTAACTTACTTTCCCTACTTCCTCCCTCTTTCCTTCACCTCGTTTGTTTGTTAGTTTTAAAATTAACCTAGGCTAAAACTGATTGAATGCAGTCAACAGACTTCTAATAAAATTCTCCTAATGGCTAAATGTTTCTTTCTGTGGTGATGATTTAGGATGAGCCTTTTATCTGTGTTTTTTTCAGTGCCAAATCAAGTGGGATTCTAGCATGGTATACATATATATATGTGCGTGTGTGTATATATATATATGTGTATACACATATGTATGTACATATATATATACACATTTATTTTTTGGATCTAAATATGTATTTTTAGGCTCTGTGTCCTTAAAAATATAGCTAATTTCTAATCAGTGTGCCATATATTTTTATGTAAATTTTGCTGATAAACAACAATGTTTTATAAATAGTTTCCTCATGGCAATTCACTTGAGAGACTTTCAAAATAATTCAACCTTAATCTGAGCAGAAAAGCATTAAGCTGAAGAAAAATAATGTTTTATGTAGAATGATACAAGAAGCATAAAACTAGAGGGAAGGGTAGCATTAATTATCTGACATGAGCATGCTATGATCTACAGGATGCTGAGTTCCAGGTCTCCCTCTAAGAGTCTGTAGGGATTAATTCAATTTTACTGAAGTTCCTTCTGATCATTCTTCCAATGAAAATACTGAAGAAAATTATACTTGCATAGATACAAGAAAATTTTAACTTTTTTACAGTTATGTTCTATTAGTTGGACCTGACAGCTCTTCTAATTTTGGTATTTCTGTTGCAAAATACAGAGTAATTGGTAAAGGAAAAAAATTTCTGTTAATACAAATTATAGCAAATAAAAGACTTTTGATCGATGTTTTCAGTGAAGTGAACACACTTAATTTGTGAAACTGTGCTGAGGATCAGATTGGGTATTCCTGTTTGATGAAATATAGAAGCAATTTCAAAACTAGTCTGTGCATGCCACCTTTAAGATTTAAAGCTACCTTTTGGTTTGCCATGAAACAGGGTACTCAAAAATTCTGATTCTCAGCTACTTTGAAGGTCTTGGGTTAGACCTCTAAGTCATAGCCATTGAGGAAATTAAAACAAAATATGAATTACTTGTAATAGCTATCTCTCTGCTTTCCAAGCTTAGTGATAACCTTAGCAGAGGTGATACAGCAGAGGCAAATTTTAGTTGATGAGCAGAGAGGAAGCATTTTAGAAGACAGTCTTGCAGAGCTTCCTACTTATGCACAATGTCTTAAATAAATTTTCATTGCAGGGCATAGTTTATTTTCCCCACAAACACTTAGTTAATATTAAAGGAGAAAAGACTTGGAAATTAGAACTACTGCATTACCAACATAATTTTTAACGATTCATCTCTGAGACGAGCTTTCACAGTGCTGCCTGTAATTCCTCAACACAGATTACCTCACAAAGGAACACCTTTAATTGCCTCTTGCTTAGCACTAGTCCATGGCCTTTCGACACCCAGCTCTTCCTGTAGAAATGCTGGGTATGGTGCTGCCTCCCAGCCTTGAGAATCAGGCTGACCAAGTCCCTGGCAACAAACAGGATCTCTCTTTTAACCTGGCAGGATGTCATTATTTCCACTCTGTGGGAGGGAAACTGTCAAATGTGTAATGGACCCACTACTGTGTTGTATTCTCTCATTTCAGAGGGGTAGAAGAGACCTCAAAAATGTTTTGGGGTATGCTGATGAGCATACCTGTTTCAAACAGTAAGCTAGAATTACTGATGTAAAAAATAGCGTAAAATTAGGGAAGGAGAGAGTGAGTGAGTGAAAGAGAATGTTCCTCCATAAAATTTTGCACATCTAAATTTAAAAAATCTTGAAGGAGTCTGATGAAGTAGCAAAATGAACAATCCTAAAGGTAACCTGAGCAGAAAAAAAATTGGGTTTAGATGCATTTTACATAGAAACTACAGGGTTATTGTACATCCAGTTTTCTTTCTGACACAAAATGACAACTGCAGTCCAATAATGATTTCACTGGGTTCTAAATTCATCATGGCAATTTACTTACTTAGTTGATCCAGTATAGCAACCTTCTGTTTCTAGGAGTGATTTGATTAAAATATACAATAAATTATAGTTAATTTAATGAATTAAACCTGACTGTGACCACATTTGGAAAATATATTTTTAACTGTGCTCCTCCTATAATAGCTGATGCTTACCTGACATCCAAATTAATTTTTTTTTCCAGTTATTGAAGAATTATCAGAAGTGGAGAATTGAATGCCCAGAAATAAGTGCAGATTTACAACCATCTTCTATTCTTGGTCTTTTGCAAGCTGGCTATCACGGAGTCCTAAGGTCAAGAGACCCACATGGAAGCAAAGTTCTAATATACAGAATTGGTGAGTGACAAAATTGCTTGGAACAGTTTCACACCTGATTCTGACACTGAAGTTTTTAGGCTTTGTTTGTTTGCTTTGTTTCATTTTGTGGTTTACTTTTTTAACTATCACCATTTCAGCAGCAAATCAAAAATATTTTATGGGTACAACTTCAGGGGTTGATAAAACTAGATCATATCAGAATATCTTAACAAGAATGGTAATATATTTATGTTCCTTGCTAGAAATGCCTTTATGTTAATATAAAGGTGAATTTTCTGAGCTATAGCAATTAAATAATTTTACTTATATATTGGTATGGCTAAAGCTGTAAAATCCCTTATGAAGAACCTAATTTTCTTTTCAGTGAAATTCTTGTTGCATCAAAAGAATCTTGAAGGTTAAAACTTGTAAGATTATGTGGGTTTTTGGCTCTGAGTGTCCCAAAAATGATTTGAGTTCATGTAAATTGTCAAAGCCATGGGCTGAGACTGTGGTACTGATGCAGACACAGCACAGAGTAGGGAGAACACAAACAAAGGTGTACACCTTGTCATATATCAACATTTAGTTTAGGCTGGGATGATCACCAGCCTTTCATTGTTTACTTGTAGCCAAAGAGCCCTAGCAAACAACACTTGGAAAATGCTTGATGCACCTCCTAAAAGTATTTTCAAATAGTACATAGTTAAATGAACACCATGTCTCTTTATGTTTGTTTTGGACAGAGACTTTATTTTTGCCAACTTTCAAAGAACTGTCTTATTATCATCTAGTTAGGTAGGTAGTTGTGCCCTCTAAAGCTTTCATCTAGGGTTAGGGCTCATCCCATGCAATTTTTCACTCAGGCCTCAGAAAAAAAAAAAAGTGAGATTCACTGAGTTGTGCCAGAAAATGGCAGTGCTGAAAAGCAATTACATTAATTGATTGGACTGATGATCTGCAGCTTCTGCTAGCATGAGTGTTACTGAATTGTACCTTGTACTGGGTCTGTGGCTATAGGTAGAGCATGCTACATTATGTGGCACCATCTACTAAAAGAGCATCAAAGATGTATGAGAGAGCAGGTACACAAATTAACTTATGTACTGCCAAACCAGTTTATTTCAGGAACTTTGTTCTTGCTGATTAATTCTTTTTCCTGAGAAGCACATTAGAAGCCGTAGGAAGAAAAAGTGCAGGTGTATGGGATTTTCTCATGGTAATGCAGGGTAATCTATCTTCTCCTCAGGACAATGGGATCCCGGTTTGTTTACAGCATATGACGTGTTTCGTGTAAGTCTCATCACATCAGAGCTCATTGTAAGGGAGATCGAGACTCAGCGAAATGGAGTCAAGGCCATCTTTGACCTTCAGGGGTGGAGATTTGCTCATGCTTTTCAAATCAGCCCAGCAGTGGCCAAGAAAATTGCTGCTGTTCTCACAGTAAGTATGACATAATGCTTTATGCAGCTTCATTGCTATGATTTCCAATTTTTCATCTCTTCCAAGCTATAGTAAATTTTCCTTCTGTAGGCATTCTCAGACTAAGCAACTTAGAGGAACAAAATCCTAAATCAATTACAAGTTGTGCTTGATTTTACCTAAATTTTATTCTTCTATACCAGTAAATGTCCTCTAACTTCTGCTCTTTTATAAGAGCTCCACCAACCTGTTACAACACAAGAATTTCATGACTGAAGGAGCAGATGAAGCCCAGTTTTGGAAGGATCTCTATTTGTTATCCTGTTTCATCTATTGTCTTCCATTCTTTTGTGTATTTTCTCAATATTTAAAGCATTTATTCCTGTCTCAGAGAATGTTAAAAATAGTGTGCACTGTGAACAATTAAGATCAAGACACTCCTAACTTGTTACCAGTATGGTTGATGCTTATGTGATCTTCCATCTGCTAACAACAGAATGTATAACATTTATGTTCTGCTTGCTTTCTTCCCCACAACATGAGCATTGTTTTGTGCAAATCACTGTTACCTCACCTCCTGTTTTTCACAAAACTTCTCAGGACTTTACTCTCTTTGAGGCTTATTCCTTTCTGCCAAATTCAGTTGAATTTTGCCACTGGATTTGAGAGAAAAAAAAATTAAAGGAAAATGGGGACAGAGAACTGGCAGGCAAGCTACAGTGTAGTCCTGTAATCTTATTTTCCTTCAGAAGTTATGTTGAAAGTCAGTGATAATAAAACTGTTAGCCTGTGATGTGGAAATGCGCCAGGGAGATAATCTCTTGCTCTGATTTGGTAAGGCTTATATCTGAGATTCAATCAAGGCTTAGTCATTGAATTAATATCATCAGAACTTCAGATGTTCTTCCTTTCTGATATGTACTGTACAACTTTATTGAAACCATTAGGTATTCCCAACTTTGCGCATCTAGAATAAGAACTCCTGGTGTTATGCAGTCTTGGGCCAGTTCTCATGAAAACAGGACTAGTGAGAGTGTTTGGGTTGATTTCTGAGGTAGTAAACATTTTGCTGGTAAATTTTTTAACCTTGAAATAGAGCAGAAAGGAGGCAGAATAGGATTTGCAAGTACATCTAAAGGTTTCAATTCATTATCTCAAAGCAGGAAATTCTTTGACTATGATGTTTCCATCTTGACCTATTTCTGATTTATGTTTTTCAAACTTCTAAATGCTTATTCTCGGTATGGAAAAGAAAAATTAAAAATTGTGTGTTTCCAGTGTTCTTTTCTAAGAAAAAGAATTTAAAATTTTTTGGTCCCCTAATTCCTTTCCTCACTTTTATCTGGGTTTGTAAATTTTATCCAGAGATTATATTAGTGTTCTTGAATATAATGTAATCATAGAATATGTTAATTTGGAGGGAACTCATCAGAATCATCAGAACTCCTGGCCCCATGCAGGACACTTCAAGAGACACACCATGTGGCTGAGAGCATTGCCCAAACACTTCTTGAACTCTTGTCAGGCTTGGAGCTGTGACCACTTCCCTGGAGAGCCTGTTCCAGTGCTCAACCACTCTCTGGGTTAAGAACTTTTTCCTCATATCCAATATAAGCCTCCTCTGACACAACTTCAGGCCATTCCCTTAGGTCCTGTCTCTGGTCAGGAGAGTGAAGAAATCTTCCCTTCCTCTTCCCTTCACAAGGAAATTGCAGACTGTGATGAGGTTCCTTCTCAGTCTCCTCTTCTCCAGGCTAAACAGACCAAGTGACCACAGCCACTCCTCACACTACTTCCCCTCCAGGCTCTTCACCATCCTCCTGGCCTTCATTTGAAGCTCTCTAATAGCTTCATGTCTTTTTTATATGTTGGTGCCCAAAACTGCACACGGTATTCAAGGTGAGGCTGCCCCAGTGCAGAGCAGAGCAGGACAATCCCCTCCCTTGCCTGGCTGGAGATGCTGTGCCTGGTGCACCCCAGGACATGTTTCATGAACTCCAGAATATGCTTATAAGTAAAATTAAAGAAACCTTATTTTTAACCCAGTATTTTACTCAAGAAATGTGTCTTGCAAATTACTATCCTGTATCAAAAAACAGAAGTTAATAGAAAGGAAGTATGTACTAAGGAATGGAAAGCATAGTGCGGATAATAAGTGGCATTATCTTGAAAAATCTGATATCCCTGCAGAAGACTGTTTTGTGAAAATCATGATAGTAGGCTTTAAGTATATGATAACCCATAATAGCATTAAGTGAAGATACAAGCTGATAATTTTAAGGTCTTTATCATATGTTATATCGAGAAGGAGTGGCACTAAAAAAATGTGTTAGCTTTGGGTTTTTCCTTCCTTAGAACTATTGAACTAGTGAGGAGATGTGTTTGTGAGAAGTACCATTTTTATAAGCAGAAAACATCTCAGAGGTAGTAGCAGGTGGGATGTGAAGGGAAGCTGTACTTTCCCCATTGCACAAAGCTTGTTTTGAGAATTGCCATATTTTCTTTTAAATTTCATATATCTGGAACTTTTAAATGAATGCAAGTAGAATCCAAGCTAGTTTATGTTATAAAAGCTGTATAGCAGATATTTTTTTCAATTTCATTAAAACAGTAATCTTCTTGTAAAGCTGAACTTCTGTCTTGACCAAATTCCTAGTAATTTCAAGGCTTATCTCTAAATTATAAATATAATTTATTTAACTTAAAATTAGTATTTTCAATAGTTTATATATGTATTATTTATGTATTATCCTTCAGGCTGTAAATTGCCAATAAAAGCACATAGCTTGATAGCATTTTGTAAATTAGTAGCAGAATCTTGTTAAAAATTGTACTTTAGAAGAAAGGCTGAGCACAAAGTTTGTGTACTTTATTTATGTGCAATTTGGTGATGGTTTTCTTTTTTGTTTCTCTGTTTGTTTTTAATATTCAATCTCACCTCCTGCTAAGGTGAAAAAAATGGAGAAATTTTGCCCTCTGATGGGAAGAACAAGATATTATTTTTCTAAATGTTGTTCTTAATTTACACTGCTAGAAAATGCAGGAATTGGCAAGGTCAAAAGAAATACTTTAACCTATGAACTAGACAGTTTTTACAGGCCTGTGCTTAGTAATAGAGGTGTTTCAATAATGTTTTCTTTTTCTTATTCTGTTTTCCATGTATACTGACAGGATTCCTTTCCACTGAAAGTTCGAGGTATCCACTTGATTAATGAGCCTTTATTCTTCCACCCAGTCTTTGCTCTAATTAAGCCTTTTCTCACTGAAAAAATAAAGCAGCGGGTGAGTGCACACAAATATTTCTTTCTGCCACAAAACCCTTATATGACAATCTGCAGCACTTTCCTTAGGCTCTGTTACTCCTGAGTACTGAGGAGCATAAATAATCTTTGTTTGTTAGTGCCATACAGACCTCCAGAATCTAACAGTAAAGCATTTGCAGTTTTTATTAACATGAGTGTTGCAAGTGGTGCTGTTATCGCTACTCTGAAGAGAAAAAACAGCATCACAAAGAGGTTAAATAATTTGCTTGAGGTCACATAACAATTCTTCTGCAGAACTAGAAAGAAATAGGTCCTGGATTTCCCAGCACTCTGCCTACAAATGATAGAGAAAAATTATCACTGAGCAGTGTTTTATGGTCCAAGCTGTGCAGAATTAGTAGAAAACAACTGTTTAGCTCTGAGAGACCTCCAGATTTATGCATCAAAAATTGGTCAGACTTAATTTCTAAGGTTTTTTCCAAATAGCTCCTTAGTTGCTTTAAATAGTTTTGCAGTTAGAGATCTGCAAATAGATTTGTATTTGGATGCAAAAGCATGCCAATGACTATGGTTTGTTGCAACATAGGAAACATACTGGAGTTTTCAGCTGGCAGAAAAGTGAAGTGGTAACAGCAGGACTAAGGTACAAAATAAGCAGCCCTGCCTATTGTTGTTCTGATTCTGAAGCCTCCTTTTGGTTATTTTTTGGTTTGGATTTTGGTTATTTGCATTAGCCAGTGATCGCCAGGACAGTAAATCCTAGAAAAGTATCAGACTGGAAGTAATGAACAAGGCTTCAAAATAGCTACAATAAAGCAAGAGAAGAACCAAACCTACAGTATTGAAAGAGTTAAAGTGGAGAAGTAGTCCAGAATCCAATTCCAGTTGGAACTGAAAGATAAGGACTGATATATAGATTCTGTTGAGTATCTTCCTTGACACCTGTCTGGACCTACATAATCTTGTTTTTAAATACGTGTGGCAGGACCAGATAGTAATGGCCATGAGCCAGACAGGGCTATTTTCTTGGAAATGACCGAAGGGCAAGTATAAGATATCATGACAAAACAAATCACCAGTATTCCTGTGGTTTAGCTCAGTTTAGCAGTTTGGATGTAGAGTGTACTCTCACCAGCGTTGCTAAACCAGTCTGGAACAAGTGTGTAGTTAGTTTTGGCTCCTGTGCTCACAGCTACATAAAATGCAGTTCTCAGGTTGTAGTCCATCCTTCACCAGCCTTCAGATTCAGAGGAGGACAGAGTTTGAGTACCTAGGGGAAACTACAAGGGTAGTTCCACCTTTTTAAGAATTAATTATGAACAAATACACTTATTTAGTTAAACCAAGCTTGTGGATTCAGCTCTTGCACTGAGATGCTTTGCTGCCTGTTCTCACTCAATAGTCTAGCATTCATACCTAAGTAAATGCTTTTAATATTTTGGTTTAGGTGTACATGCATGGAAATAACTACTTGCAAAGTCTGACCGAACACTTTCCCATCAGCATTCTCCCACAGGAATATGGGGGGGAGGAAGTCTCCATTGAAGAGCTGGCCAAGGAATGGACTGACTTCATAATGGCATCTTCAGATTATCTTCAGAGCATTTCTCTGGTTGCCTAGGAATAATCAAGTATTTTATCAATTCTTGAACACTGGAATTGGAAATAAGTTTAATATGTAAATTTCCATTGTGAATGAAACCGGTATGTCTTTGCAGGGCACTCACTGAATGTTATATTGGCTGCACTTTTGTACTAACTGGAGTCTGTCAGTTTGTATGTCTGAAGAGATTAATGAATTCTACATGTTTGTCACACTGTTTGTTATTGAGTAACTTGTATGCCAGAAAGCTGAAGAGTGCATTGACTATCAGATTGATACTGCTGCTGTTAGGTCTTTGGAGACAACTCATCTGTAGTAATGTAGTCCAGAACCTTACACTTAGCTCTTGTATCTTGGCTTGTCAAGACAATACAAAACAAAGAATAGACTGTGAATAGGGTAGTTTGTTGCAGAAATGAGACTAGTGGGCTGATTTACAAGAAGTGAAGAGGCTGCTTTTTGGAGCTATTCTCAGGGGAAAAAAAATGCTCTTTTGTTAGTTTGTATCAAATTGAAAATTAGTCAGCAATAGTGAGACATTTGTGTTACTCTTTGTGCTGCTTGTGCGTCTTCCCTTTTTGTCCTAATTAACAGAGTAATCTTCAAGTTTTATAGAAAAACACGTACATATTCTTCAGAGGACAGTGTGAATCAGGGGGGAGGAACTGGTAAAAGAGTCATAACAACCTTGAAAATTCTTATTTTCTTTGTTCAAAGTGATACTGTCTATGGACAACTATAAGCAACTCAGATTATTATCCTTTAATCCCCAGTGTAGAGGACTACAGAAGTCAAAAGTTTTCAGCTGTTTGCATTATCTGTTTGTTTCAGAGAGTAAAGTAGGTTATCCTTTGCAGATCTGAAGTTTAGAAATATCTGTTGTATGTTTTAAGGATGCTTTGAGGTCACTTTGGACCTCAGCATGGGAGATGCTTGGTATCATAATTTTATTTTCAGTACAGTAACTGCTCTTAACTCTGTTTTGTTTTTGCATAAGCGCTATATATTTAAGCATTCCAAATGATTTTTCCTATGAATGAATCCATAAAAATGCTTTTATATCAGGTAGTTAGAAATTATAACTTCAATTATTTTGTAATCTTTAGGACATTGGAATGGCATATAGGAATAGGGAAGAGAAATGAAACTGTCCTGTTATATTAGAAATGCCTTACTTTAGATTGTGATTAGTAAGGCATTATTGCAAGAGTCACTAGAAACTATTCTTTATTAGCAAGAGGAAAATCTGTGAAAGTACCCTTAGAGTACATGTTGGTTGTAGTTTCTTCTGCTGTGATAAGATCAATGCCAGAAATTCTTTCAAAACTGACAACAGCCTTTTATTTTCCCCTTCCAATTTCTGAATTTCCTGAAGTGCCTTTTTAATTTTTCTCTTTCAAAATACTTTTATATGGGCCTGAATTTAAAGAAACTATATTTAGATAAATGATTATATGAAAATGCATTTCATATACATTTCTTTTTCTCAGATTTTGTGATACTGTTTTGTGATACGCTGTTTTGTGATACAAAAGCTCTTTAAATACAGGAGTTCAATGAACTGCAAATTCTTCTTTATAAGAAAATAGACCAAGTAGTCAGCTATCTGGCAATTGTTCAAGTGTGTAACTCAAGTTCCAAGTAATTTACCAGTTGGAGACCCAAAGCTATTGTCATAATATTACAGTCCTTCAATTTTAATCTGTGAATGTAAACTGCACAAAGGAATGAACCATGTTTCAGTGAACAAGAAAATTTAAACTTTTCCTATGAAACCCATCTCTATGGCTACTGGTTTATGTAGCAGAAACCTCATTTGATTGCATATGTATATGCATATTTAGCTAGGGCTTTTTGATCTTTATTTGGACCTCACCAGCTCTATTAATATAAAGTTCCTAAATGTCTTATGATCCTGTTAAGTGGTAGCGTGTTTGCATAACTCAGCAGTTAGAGCACTGAGTGCAGTTATTTTTTCCTGAACTGTTAATTATTTTTTAATGTTTACATATTACATAGGAGGTAGGAACTCTTAATTACCATTGCTGCTAATAATAGGGACACAATATAATTGGAATATTTACATAATGAGTAGTGAAGATATTGGTATGATGTGCGGTGGTGTTGCAGCTTTAAGCAGCAGCCAACAAAACAAAGATCCCTAAGTGCATTATTCTTTATAAACATCGGGAGTGCCTCTAAAAAAAATAAAGTTCCTGTTAAACGGTACAAATATAATTTACTACTGACTGTAAGCACGATGTAATGCACAATTTTTAATGGTTTTTTCTCTGTATTAACATATGTTTTAATTAATAAACCCTTTCTGGTTGAAGCAGCCTCGTCTGTCATGCACACGAGCGTCGCTCTCGCAGGGATGGGGGCGGCCGCGGGCGCT